TTTCTTCACCTCTTAAGCTGTGTGAGCGCAGTACCAGTCCTCAGTGGAATGAGTCTTTCTACTTCCTGGTTCATGACCCAAAACATCAGATGCTTGTATTAAAGGCAAGACATTTATTTCCATTTATGTGTTTTAAGGAGCTGCATCTCACATTTAAAATCAGTAATAAAAGTGGAGTGATTTTTTTTTTTTTTATTCTTTCTTGCATCAGTTGTCCAGTGGGTGGGACCAGCCAATGGGATCTCTGGTGGTTCCTGTCAAGGAGCTGCTTGCAGAGCCACAGCTGGTCCTGGACCAGTGGTTCCATCTGGATGGAGCCTCACCTGAGAGTCAGATCCTGCTGAGGGCTGAACTCAAGGTGAGAAATCAAACACATCTTCCCACACACACACGTACACACGTTAGGTATTGAACAACAACTAATCAATAATAGCACTTGTTGTTCCTGTTATGAATTGGTTTTCAACAGATTCTAGATTCCCAAATGGTGGATATGATCAGTGCGGGGACTCTGCCCTGTGCTGCCTCTGGCTGTGGATCTGGAAATGGGCAGGTGAAGTTGTCTCTTTCATATGCCTCACAGAAGAGAGAGCTCATCGTCCTCGTACATGCCTGCAGGTATGCTTCCGCAAGTAATGTGGCAAAACTTTCTCAGTCAGATTGTGTTCTCACCAATGATGCACTGTTGGTATAATCTTAATCTTATTACTCATTATTTGAGGGTTAGGTTACAGGAAAGGCTCATTGTTTTTTAGAATTCTGACTTTATTACAAGTTGCTTCCCATTAGATATTATCATGGCACAACTTCAACATCTGCATCATTGAAAAGCTTTGCTGCTGCAGCATGTAACTTAATATAACCAGAGTATATATGTATATAAGTTTAAAAACTTTTTTAAAAGAACTGAGTGCAGACAATATAGTTAGACATGTCTATGTGTTCTACTAAAAGGTCAGATTGTATTGACTTTACTTGGCACCAGAGCATATGAGCGGAGCGGGGAGCGGAGGGATTTTGTGTTGAGCGAGGAGCGGCAATTTTTTTGAAAGGTGGAGCGGAGCCTTATCTCTCGCTCCAATTTCGCTTTGGTTGCTCATGCCCCACCCAGAATGCATCTTTACACCGGCTCGCACACCCACACTATTTTCTTTCAAAACTATGGAGTTTAATGTGTACTTCAGAAAAGAAACTGAGAAGTCGTACAAGTGTACTATTCCTATAAAAGTAACAGATGGGGATAATGTGGAACAAGAGTTATATGAGGAAAAGAGTCCCACAGACACACAGAACACTGGAGGGCAATGATGACTGATTATTTATATGGTGTGCTGTGTTTTAAGCTCATGTTTTATTTGTGAATAGAAGATTGCAGGTGAGGGTTGTACGATAAAGGTTTTTTTTTTTTTTGAGCGGAGTGGTGAGCGAGTGGTGTGGGATAAAATTTATGATGGAGTGGAGCGGAGCGGAGAGGAGTATGCGCAGAACCAGGCGGAGCTGACGAGCGGCGCAGATTGACAGGTCTGTGAGCGAGGAGTGGAAATTTTCACCCAGTCTGCTCCGCTCACATGCTCTGCTTGGCACACAGTCCTACTGCTGAAAGTAAAATATGAATTGTTTCTGGTTTCTTAAATTGTAAAATACACAGACACGATGACTTAACATTGAAAAAAGGGCCTTGTTTTAAAAACCTATAAGCATTCCCCTTAAGAAAAAAACCTAATATTTAATAAAGTGAGGACATTGTTGATGACAGCTCAGATGAAAAATAAGCATAATAATGCAATAATGTACACTTTGCACATTGCTTTGTATTTACATAGAGGCACTATACTGCTCCAGCATGCTGGTACTTTTTAATATTCATAGACTTTAACATGTCAAATTATTGAAAATATGCCTTATTTATCTGTGTACAGAGGTCTGTTGTCTCAAAATAAGGATGGTGTAGACAGCTACGTCTCCCTCATGCTGCTACCTGACAAAAGCAAGGCCACCAAGAGGAAGACAGCAGTGAAGAAACGAGATCTCAACCCAGAATACAATGAGAGGTAATTAACTAATTGCCTTTATGTACCTATCTAGGCTTTTTAAATCTATTTAGTGTTCACATTTAATCATCTTTGTCAATTTCTTAAAGGTTTGAGTATGCTCTGCCTTTGGATGAGACAAGATTCAGACGCCTCAGTGTATCAGTAAAGAATAACTCGGCCTCATTCAGGAGCCGCGACGTCATTGGACAGGTCAGTGTGAGACTGTACTTTACCTCTATCTGCATCTTTGATATGGCTTAAATGATCCGCATGACACACACACACACACACACACACACACACACAGCAAGTGACAATCAGGGTATCCACAGAATGTCACGTGACACGCTCACATTAAGCTATTTTGGGTTAATCCACACTTTTGTCCAGTCGGTACACTAGTGCTAGCACAGCTGGTAACATACATATATCATGTTTTTAAATATGTCCTTGGCTTTAAAATGTTTTCATTCTGTGTACTCACTACATGCAGAAATACTTCTTATGTGTTGATATGTCATTCCTGTTCTTTAGGTGCAGATCGAGTTGGCTCAGCTTGACCTGATTTCTGGTGTCACAGAATGGTGAGCAGAGCAGACTGAACTTTAAGTGACAGTCTACAAAGAATATTTAGTATCAAATGGAAACAGTGGCTGCAAAAGTTCATAGTTCCCCAACTAACAGAGAGCAGAGGCTGTGGTCAGCTTGCAATACACCATACATAGAGACTTCTCAAACCACTCCTAAAGCATGAACCCTTGTCCACTATCCTTCTATACGTTCAGTTCAAACACTGTTTCACAAAAATCTGTCTGATTTGTGTGTCTGACACTGCCTCCAGTGGAGCACTGAGGAGGACAAAGCTGTGTATTTAGCCTATTTTGAAGAATCTGAGACTATTTGTAACATATTTAGTATACAGTATGTATGGACAGCAGAGGCGTGTATTATTCTGTAGGAGTAGTTAGACAAGTTTCTGTGGCTTATTTGGGTGGAGTATCACTTAAAGGGCCAGTATGTAACATTTATGAGGATCTACTGGCAGAAATAGAATATAATATTCAAAGGTATTTTTTAAATTACTTTATAATCACCTGAAAATAAGAATTGAGATATGAGATATGAGCCATGCTGAACGGCCATGTTTCTACAGTAGCCCTAAGGGAAGAAACCAAACACTATATAGGGCCTTTCACATTTCTATATATAGTTTCTCCTCCAATCTTTGAAGGCTTAGCTGCATTCAAATGGTTGTAATCACCACTTGACTGTGCACTTGTGTTCTTGTTTTCATTTTTTAATTGTTTAATGATCACCAATTATTAAGTCATTGCAAGTGATTGAATTCACTTTTAATTTCCATCTCTCTGTTTTATTCCAGGTTCACTCTGAAAGATGAGGCTGAATAGTCGTTCTGCTTTCTGATGTCGTCATAGTACAGTGATGATGACATGACTTGACTTGATATTGTGCCACTGCTGCAGCTCACACTGATGCCTTCCCACCTTTGCATACAGTCCCACTGTGGCAGCCTTACCTGCATCCACCCAGCTGTCTGTGTATTAACATATAGTATAAAATTAGACTGCACTATATATTCATGTACATCAATACTCTCACCAAAGATAAGAAGGAGGATGAGGAAGGATAAGAAGAAGCAGAGCTGACAAGGATAAAATGTACGTTTTTATTGATGGAAGGTCACGTTAATATATTAAGACTGAGTGGAGTGAAAGTGAAAGATGAACAGTCCGAGAGAGGACGAGGTCATATTTTGTTGCTCGTTTTTTTTTGTTGTTGTTTTTTTGCTGCATAGATGTTTGAAATCTGAGAGTATCTTGTTTAAAGTGCAGTAAAAATGTTGGACTATGCCATTTCAGTATTTTGGATCCGTTTTATGACAGCCTTACATTGAAGTTATTTTATATTTCACAACACTTTGTGTTTGAAATTGCTTTTGAAAATCATTTTTATAAGATTTTTTTTTTCTACAACATTTATTTGTTACAATTATGTCACAATTAAATCATGGTATTTTTGATTTCATGTATATTTGCAAAGCCTATGGATCAGATGCGATACCGTTTGTTGAAAGATGGTAACAAAAATAAACAGATTTTGCACATCTAATCTTTTTGCTTTTGTGGACTCTTTTTTTTTTTTGGAGTGGAGTAAAAATTTAACAGTTTTATTTATGACATTTATGTTTTATTACCAGTTCTACTGTGTATATTTTCATTTTCCTTCCATTTAATGGTTTCATCCAATTATTAAATATTAAATATCAGATACTGTGGGTATACTGGATATGCAAAGTTATTGCTACTTATGATGAATAAAATAAATAACATTAATTGAGAATATTGAGAATGAAATGAAAATACTTTTTTTTTAAAAATGAACAAAAATAGGTCAGAGGTTTTCTTGACTTTGTAGTTTAGAAGTGTAGTGGTAGAAGTACTCAGATCTTTTAGTAAAAGTACTAAAACTATACTAGAAATATTCTGTTAAAAGTAAAAGTTCCATAAAAATGTTACATGAGTAGAATTACAGAAGTATTAGCAGTGAAATTAAAAGTTCATAATATGTATACACCCATAGCCTAATAATAACAGACATATTCTATTATTGGATTCAACTGATTGAATATGTGTATCACTTTAACTAGAGCCACTTTCTACACTGCTGGGTAGCTTCATCTATAATAATACATCAAAATATATTTGTTGATAATATTCTGAATCTGTAAAAGCAATACTACTAGTAACTAAAGCTGACAAATAAATGTAGTGCGATAAAAACAATATAGCCCCCTCGAATGTAGTAAAGTAAAATAGTACCTTCAAATGGTACTTCAGTGCAATACTTGCTTTCAAAGCTGTTTATCTCAACAGCAACATGCTGATGATTTATTAACAAATATTAATACTCATTAATCGTGAAAAGTCTGCAGCTGCATTAATGCTGTGAACCTCCCATGTGACGTCACGTGTCTCGCGGAGCCTCAACAGTTTCACTTTCATTTATCAGGAAGAAGCAGCGTCAGAGCCGAAAGCCAGCTGAAGGTAATTATGCTTCATGAATTCATGTTTTACATGTTTGTTCGAAAAGTAAACAACATGTTTGTTGCATAACTTTGTGTTAAATGTAAGAAACTATACAAACGGAGAGCTAACTGACAGCCTATAAAAGTTTGCGTTAGGTTGTCGTAAGCGAAAGTGGAGTCGGGCGATAGCGTCGCTTTAATATAATGTCGACATTTGACAAGTCATATCTGAGTGCAGGTTTTATATAAATACACCAAATCAAGAATTGTCGATGGTTTGAACCGGAAGAATGACTACAACAAACATTACTGTCATTTATGTCACAAATAGGTTTTCTTAAAGGAAGAAGACTCAAAATGTCAGCCAGTGACACAGAGGAGCCCATGGACATTGACAGTGTGAGTATCTGTATCAGCCATGTCTGCAAACTAAAGCTGAACATTTGAACAGTGTGAAAGAAAACTGTTACGTATAAGAGAATTATGCTATTAAATAATGTAGACTTTCTTAAATAGCAATAGTAGCCTACTGTGTGTGTTTGTGTGTGTTTGTTTGTGTGTGTTTGTTTGTGTGTGTGTGTTTGTGTGTGTGTGTGTGTGTGTGTGTGTGTGTGTGTGTGTGTGTGTGTGAGCTATCACTTCAACCAGAAGTGAGTTTTTGTTTGTTTTTCTGTAAAATGTGAAAGTGAAAGTATTACAATGAAGTTGTTGAAAATAGACTATGCTAGTCCTGAATAATCACAGCCTGCTGCTCTCTGCTATTCAGATTCTATGAACTTATCATACACAGGCCTAGCAACTACATTATCAACACTGTATGGAAGTCTAACGTAATTAAAGTAATGTTAGTTTAGTGAAAAAAACACCACCTGCTATACCATACACAGAACATGTAAAGTAAAATTATAATTAGGGAGCTAACTGCACACAGTTCCACTGCATTTAATCAACTGTTTTGAAACTGGTGGAACCAGTGGTGTTATTCACTTTGTGTTTTATATTTTTACTATTCTAAATTGCTCTAGAAAAACCTATTTTCAAACCAGACTTAAGCTGAGTGGCCTGGAGGATTTTATGCTATCTTTCTTAGTAATACAGTGACATTAACTGTAACATGTTTTCATCCAGGGACCTGAAATCAAGCCTGTGGATACTACATCCTCTGAAAAAGTGACTGGGTCAGAACCCAGTGAAGATGACGTCACTAAGTCCTTAAATGCAGGTCAGGAACCCGTAACAAATACCTACACTTCTGCTGTAGAGTCTTCTGGGGCATCAGTGAACCTTGGCGGCATGAAAGTTGTGAGTGGTTGAATCAGTCAAGTCTGGAATCTAAAGTTAAAATTGTTTGTGTTTTGAAGTATTAATTGCTTCAATTGTCTTTTGTATTTAAATATCCTGTCTTTCCTCATAGCGTTCTGAGCAGCCTTCAACACCTCATGATACGTGTGCTGGGGTATGTATTTGTGTGATATTATGTGTATTGAGGAAACAATGGCTTCCTATTTCAAAGACATGAGCAGTTTGTTGAAAAAAACAGTTGAAGAGTTCCAACAGGCCTGTATGTTTTTCTGTAAAGTGTTTGTGAAAGTATGACAATGAAGCTCCCAGGACGGACTGTGCTAGTCCCAAGTAGCCTGCTGCTCTCTGCTGTATTGAGGCTGTCCTCTTTGGTCATTTTCTGCTCTGTTATCGTACTGCACAGCAACTACATTATAAACTCTGTATTAGCACTGTTGTAATTAAAGCAATGTTATTTTATACCACCTATCTCCAATATCGTATACATATATATGATGTACTTTTCTGTTTTTAAACTGTTCCAGTGCTGTCATTTGCTTTGTCTTGTGTGATACAGTGACATTAACTGTAGCATGTTTTCATCCAGGGACCTAAAAACAATCATTTGGTTACTATACCCTCTGAAAAGGTGACTGGGCCAGAACACAGTAGAAATGACGTCACTAAGTCCTTAAATGCAGCTCAGGAACCCGTAACAAATCCCTGCTCTTCTGCTGGAGAGTCTTCTGGGGCGTCTCAAGACACATCAGTGAACCTTGGCGGCATGGAAGTTGTAACTGAATCAGTTAAGTCTGGAATTGTCTACTACATTATTAGCACTGTATACAGCACTGATGTAATTAAAGCAATGTTATTTTACTCCATCTTTCTCCAATATGACATCTTTTGCACTGTCATTCACTTTGTATTGTGTGATACAGTTGCATTAACTGTAACATGTTTTCTTGCTCTGACTTTATCACAGAACATAAATGGAGTTCAAGTCACCCTCTCAGTCAAGTGGTCAGAGGGTATTAAACCGAAGAAACGTAAAGTAGAACTCCAAAAACTTCTTCAGACTTGGGCCAACAGAACCAAATGTGATCGAGACTACACAGTTTTAAAGGTCTTAGAGGATGGGAGAGCTGTGATAGAGGTTAAACCTGCTCCAGGTGCAGTATGACTGTTATTCTGTTTTTATTTAAAATTGTATAAATATGGGTTTTGCAATTCAGTTTGCTGTTTTTTTTTCTTTTACTTTTGTTGAAAATACATTTTTGTTTTTCTTCTTTTAAGCCTTGATTGAGCTTCAGAAACTGAGTGGACAAACACTGACCAGGAAAAAAGAGGAGACAGTCACAATAATGTCTGTTAGTCTGACACTACCAGAGCTGGAAACACAAATACCAGACAATGCTTCACTGACTCTTCCTTCTTCAGCTGTGTCAAAGCCACAACATGTATGTGCTGTGTAGTAAATCATTAGGAAGGAATTACATTCAGCACATTAACGCCTTTTACTAAATAAATACATTGTGTTTTGTTCAGGAGCAAATGCAACTGTTGGAACGAAGTAGTTCCAGCAGTTCAGCAGCAGGAGAGGAGACATCTCCTTTATCTATTCCAGTGGGTCATTTCTGGTTTGTGAACCACATCTACAAGGAAGAAATTAAACGTATCGAGAAAGAGAATGGAGTTCAAATCAAGGCAGAAGTCAATGTGACATTTGAAGCAAACCAGAAAGATGGAGGCCAACCAAAAGCTCACTCTGACTTCATTACTCTTGTCCAGAAGTGTTTAGGTGAATCTGAAGGCTCAGTTATTCCTCTCAAGTACATAGATCCAGAAGAGTTTAAGGACACACTGAAAATCATCCAGAGACCTGAGAGCAAACTTTTGCTTACTGTATCCTCTGAAGAAATGACCGTATGTGGGCCAAGACAAAGTCAAGATGCCATCTGTAAGTCCTTAAATGTAGCACAGAAAAACTTAAATGCCTACACTTTGGCTGGAGAGTCTTCTGGGGCGTCTCAAGAAACACCAATGAACATTGGCAGGAGCATTAAAGACTCTCTCGTTGATGCTGGGTTAACCATAGAGGAGAACTACTGGAAGCGGATGACTACTATCTTCAATGAGGATGTGTCTAAGATCAAAGCTAAGTTTGGTGTGGACTTTAAGGAATCTGGCATCAGTCAAGGCAAAGTCAAAGTCAAAGCTTACTATAAAAGATCTGGAGGAAACGCAGCAATGGAGAGCCATGCTGTCAGAGCTCTTCTTCATCTGTACCAGAAGATTGCCACATCATCCATGAACTTCACCCAACACCATGGTGCCATCGGGTTCAGTGGCTCTCTGTCTCGGTCAGAGGCCTCCAGTGGACCTGTGTTGAACATACAATCAGGAAACAGCACCGGCAACACTGAAGCACCCACAGGACAGGGAGCAACAGCAGGAGACAACAAAGATGAAACCTGTCCGATATGCATGGATACATTTACCAATAAGAAACAGCTCAAGTGTAAACATGAGTTTTGCGAGGATTGTCTGGCACAGTCCAAGAAAAGCATTGGACCCATGTGTCCTGTATGCAAAGATGTCTTTGGTATGATAGAGGGAGACCAGCCACATGGAAGAATGTCAACAAGTATAAGTAGCTCCTCCCTCCCTGGATTCTTATCCTTTGGCACTATAGAAATCACCTATGATATTCCAGCTGGAAAACAGACGGTAAATGTCTTAATTTAAATATCTGGAGAGATTGTGTCAATTCTGTAAATTGTAATTTTATTTCTAACATGGTTGTCAGTAATGTTTCACTGTCCTTTTTCAGGAGAAGCATCCAAATCCTGGACAGTACTACTCTGGTATTAGGAGAACAGCATATCTGCCAGACAACAGAGAGGGCAGAGAAGTGCTGCAGCTGTTGAGGAAAGCTTTTGACCGGAGGCTCATTTTCACTGTCGGGACCTCCAGAACGACTGGGATGGAGAATCAGGTGACCTGGAACGACATTCACCACAAGACCTCAACTTCAGGAGGATCACAGAAGTACAGTAGTAGTTATTTTTTAATATGTATATATATATTTTGATGCCAAGTCTACTTAAATGTTATACATTAACCCTTGCACATACTCTGTTCCCACAGTTTTGGGTATCCTGACCCTGGCTACCTGAGCAGAGTCAGAGATGAGCTGAAGGCTAAAGGTGTTGAGTGAAGACCTTAATACAGAGTGGCTGAGGAGTTGTTTCCACACAAAAAAAAAATTATTATAAAAGATTATTATTATTATTTTTTTAAATAAGTAATTACTGGAATGCAAAGACTATTGTATCGAATGCTGTCTCTCTTCTTATACTTTTTCATATAAACAGTAAGGGTTGCTTTGAGGTGCACTGGACATTTACAACTAAAGAGTTTATGGTTTAGTAACATGTATTACTTTGTAAGTATAACTATTTCTTGATGTAGGATTTCCTCAATTCTTCCTCGATTGATAAAGTTTTTCAATTTATAAGAGTATAAGAATTGCATTTGCATCCATAAATGTAACTATGTCTGCAGTAAACATGATCTGATTTACTCCAATAAATCATTAAACCAATCCACACTGACTCGTCACTGTATTCTATATTTCCAGAAGAGAGTATAAATAATATAAGGTGTGTCATTTTCCATTCAAATAAAATCCAAAACAATTCTAGAAATGTTAAGTGAGTAAAAGCTTGTTGTAGTTACATTAAACATTTCTGACATGCATTAAGATATGGCTGACACATTTCTGACAAAAACTTTGCTGACAAGGCAGAGACCAAAGTCAGAGACCACCAAGTCCCTGTGGGAAACCACTGCAGACCACAGTAAATGGATCTGTACTTGTATAGCGCCTTTCTAGTCTTCCAACCACTCAAAGTGCTTCTACACTACGTGCCACACTCTGATCCATCAATCAGAAACTAACATTAATACATGTTCATGGCATCAGGAGCAATTTGGGGTTCAGTATCTTGCTCAAGGATACTTTGAAATGTGGCACCAGGAGCCGGGGATCGAACCCACAACCTTCTGATTAAGAAACGACCCGCTCTGCCTCTGAGCCACAGCCGCCCTACAATGGTGTACAATATGATAGACTTCACGTTACAAGAAAACATATTTCACACATACATGCAAAGACAGAAAGTCTTCTCCAATACAAAGTGCAACATTCATGATAACTGGGCGGGTTTGAGGCTAGTCGGTGTCAGGAAAACATAAAGGTAAGTCATACCTCTGATATTTTGCATTTCTACAAGTCAATTAGTGTTGGTAACTTGCACCACTAAACTACAATATACTAAAAACTAAGAACTAAGGCTGCTTCAGCATTATTATTTTAGCTTGTGGCCCTGTCTTTTAGAGGGTCTAATGTCAGGTTTAAAATATTATTATTTTATTATTTTTTGTATAGTCCTCACATGATGCATATTATTTAGTAATGCTTTATCAAATTACCACAAACTCAGTGAAACAGAAAGAGGCCATGCAGAATAATTTCACTATAGGAATACAGGTTACAGGTACAGCTGCCATGCATAGTCTTTTGTGGGCACTGTACCTAGTGGGCAACAGGGTGCGTACACAGGGCTGTAGGTGGGGTGTCAATAGGGGCAACAACAAGTTTTTTCCCCCCTATTAAAGAGGTTAATTTGATATTGAAGTAGGAATAACAGCGTTTGTGTAAATTTTCTGTTAAAAGAAATTCCTGTCAATGTGTATATGATGAGGACAAACCTATTATAGATGATGATTGTTGCTGTGCAGTTAGGGCTGTCTGTGGTAAGTTGTAAATAAAAAAGGTGTGTTAAAAAAAAAAAAAAACATCTGCAAAATTATAGACTGGAGAGGCCACTATCTGCTGAATGATGACTACATGTATTACATCACTGACTTAGGTTAAAGAAGCTAAACTCAATATAACTCAAAGCTGTTTTGTTGTTGTTGCAGTTAAAGAGAGGTTTGAGTGAGCGCTTCTCCCAAAATATTGCTCTGTGTGTAAGTTGTACATTGAAGCTTAAACTGTTCACTAATAGAGCAATAGCAGTTGACAACATAGGACGTGTTTGTGTGCATGTAGTTTATATTTGATTTGATTCTTGCCTTGTAAGATGTATTCGTGATCAAACAATGGTTACCAAAACATAAAGCTTTTTTTATTCACATCTTGCATGCAAAACCTGTACATCAGTGAGCAGTGGACAGCCAGCTGTGATGAACTTGTTTTATATTTAATGGCGTGCTGTTTAGCACTAATCTGAACTATTTTATACTGCTGGGTAGCGTCATCTGTAACAACACATCAGACTTAAGCAGTAGTCAGCTACTAAAGTGCAGTACTATATGATTTATCAATATATATTAATACTCATTAATAGTGAAAAGTCTGCAGCTGCATTAATGGTGTGAGGGTTCATGTGACGTCACGTGTCTCGTGGAGCCTCAACAGTTTCACTTTCATTTATCAGGAAGAAGCAGCGTTCAGAGCCGAAAGCCAGCTGAAGGTAATTATGCTTCATGAATTCATGTTTTACGTGCTGTATGTTTGTTCAAAACGTGAATAACATGTTTGTTGTTTGTTGCATGACGTTGTGTTAAAAGTTCTTGAAACAATAAACACGGACAACTAACTGACAGTTTATAAAAGTTTGCCCTGGTTCATCCTAACCCAAGTGTTCATTAAGCAAATTCAGTCAGTTGCCAATATTCATTTTTCATAGCTACGTAGAACTTGCACTGTACTGTGATGTTGTTTATCATTTTGAAGAAAAAACCATGGTGAAAGATTTATTTTTTTCTTTCACTGCAGGCCATGATAATGAATTGACAACTGAGATTAGCTATGGTTTTAATCCAGTGACCAGATTGGTGTTGTGAGACTGCTGAAGTGTTGTGTAATGTGTACTTATTGCACATACTTGTATTATCCTTTATTTTAAAGTGTATTTTAAAGTTGTTATTCTGCTAATAATCCCAATTTTTACTTACTTACTGTAATCTAATTATGTCTTGTTTTTTCTGTTACTATGAAGGATTGCTGTGCGATTTTGTATCCGGATTACCAAACTGTTACATGCAATGTGTTTCTTTATGTTATTCACGCTGGCTTATAGGAAGAAGATTGCTGAAATGTCAAGTTTCAGACATTTATGATTTAGTATATTATATATATAGTTTATTTAGTAATGCATTTAATCAAATTACCACAAACTTTATGTAACAGAAATGGGCCCATGCTGTTTAGTTTCACCATTGCTGGGCTTCAATAATGGCCAAACTCAGCTCCTTACAACCCCTTTAAAGGTCCAGTGTGTCACATTTAGGAGGATCTACTGGCAGAAATTGAATATAACATTCCTGGGTATGTTTTCATTAATGTGCTGGTTCTCAAACTATGGTACAGGTATCATTGATGGTACACAAGCTCCCTCTAGTGGTCTCTCCAATCTCCAAAATATATATTTTTTAAATATAGTTTTAAATGTAATTAATTAATTAATTTGACAACATATAATACCATCAAAATACTATTTTGATTGAAAATACTTAAACTATGAGACCACTGAAATGATAGGGGTTAGGGGCTCACAAACAACATAAAATATACACCCATGAATACCCAAATGGCATTAAAACAAACACAAGTAAATAAGAGTGGGTGTGCAAAATAGCATTATAAAGTAGTGACAGTCTATTTTGACTTGTTTAAAATGGTTATTGAAGTGCGAATGACAGAGTTTTTTAAGTCCCCCTCCTTCTTTCCTGTGCGTCACTGAGCAGTGGACTTTGACTATTTGCCTGCTGTTTGCATATTTAATGCATGGCTCTTTGGCACACCTTAATTAAAGCAAACAGTCACCACAGGGTCACACTTAGCCTTGCAACTCAGGCATCATTTTGGTTTGATCATGATGGGTAGCCAAACATCTGATCCATATATGAGGCTACAACGTCATCTGAAATTGTGGTGATTAAACCCCTCAGCAGCCTTAAAGCTTACATTTCAATCAACAGGAGGCTCCATCCTTATGTGTTTGCCATAATTTTGCCAATTGCAAATTCTAAATTACAAGTTCTTTATTTGCCGCATTCACAATTCTAGTTCAATGCTCATACGAAATGTACAAAAGAAAATCACACAAGCAAAATGAGAGATGCGAAAAAAGAAATGTCCAAGACGGCAGTAGGAAGAACAGTTTGTGTCTGGAGTGATTGTAGTCTTTCATGATTCTGTTGACCTTCTTCCTGCACTGCTGGGTGTAAACTTAAGTGAACATTATGTCTACTGTTTTAACAAGCATGCAGCATGTAATTTAAATTTATCATGCATGTTCCCTTGAGCTGGGTTTAGTTTTTCTTTCTGATAAATGTATTAACGATGATGCTCTCCAGCAGCATATAAAGTAGCCTATGGACTGGTTACATAGCAGACATTTAAGCATGTCATAGGAGGAAACTTAGGTGTATTAATGATTTGCTGCATTCCACTTAGTGACGGTCTCTCCATTGGGCATGCTGGTTCGCTGTCACTGTTACTGGGACACTTAATGGAACTGAGCCGTCATTACTGTTATTAAGTCCATCTGTGTTTTTTCAGCTGTGACCAGTCAAAATGTCTCCTGTGTAACCAGTCCATTATGGGTGATTCTGCTTAAGTACTTTTACTTTTGGTACTTAAAGTATATCTTGCTGCAAAATACTTTCATTCACAAACATAGAAAAGGTCTGTCAAACATAAAATAACTCCAATGTAAGCCTGTCATAAAAAAAAGATCCAAAACATAGTGCCAACCTGTATCTTCCATGCAATTGTTTATAGATTATTGTGCGGTTTGTATTGTAAACATAGCATCCGCATCCATGGATGGCATCTTTGTCCTGGTGATGTGCTGGGCAGTTTTCACCATCCTCTGTAGAGCTTTACAGTCAAGATACTCTCAATTGTGTATGTGTAGAAGTTGTAGAGCCTCCTGTCCATGTCTAGTTTATGATTTGGTGGTTATGTGAAAATTACTGTTTCATTAATTGGGTTTAGATATTAAAGAATTTAAGCCAACTATCTTAAATTTGTTGTGAAATTTCAGTTATTAATTATGAAACAAATTGTACTAAGTCAGTACTTTAAATAAATGAAATAGTATAGAGACTTTTTGTCAAAGCACACCTTCTCAGCTGAATAACTTGGAGGATTTATTTAGTAATGCAGTAGCATTAATGGCTTTACAATATGTTTTCAGGCTCCAATGATGTCATCACAGAACAGAGATGAAGCTCTGGTTAGTCTCTGTGTGAAGTGGTCAAGGGGTGATAGACCATGGAAATTAAAACTGGATTCACAGCAACTTCTCAAGGCTTGGTTCAATGGAAACATCACTGAAGTAGACTGTGCAGTTTTAAGTGCCTCAACAGATGGGAGTGTTGTGATGAAGATTACACCTGCTTCAGGTACAGTATGAGTTTGTCTGTTTTTTTTATTCTCACTGTAGAATCTCAGAAATGTCTATCACCTACCTATCTATACATACTGTTGATATCTTGGCTAGCTTTCTATATTAATATTGTTTTTGCAGTTCAGTTTCTTTGGCTCTTCTTTTATTCTTTTTGAGGCAAATTCATATTGGGTATTTCTTTTTTTTTTTTAAGCCCTGGCTCAGCTTTGGAAACTGCATGGACAAACTCTGACGGGGAAAGATGGTGAAACGGTCACAATAATGTCTGTTAGTCTGACACCACCAGAGCTGGAAGAAGAAATACCAGACAATGCTTCAGTGGACCTTCCATCTACTTGTAATATCCCAATGTACCATTACTGGTACGTGAACCAGGCCTACAAGGAGAAAATTAAACATATAGAGAGAGAGAGTGGAGTTAAAATCATGGCAGAAGTGAACCTGAAATTTGAAGCTCACCAGAAAGATGGAAATCCAAACTATGCTTTTTCTGAGTTCATCAACCTTGTCCATAAGTGCTCAGCTGAATCCAGAGGCTTCACTGTTCCTCTCAAGAATGTGAATGCAGAACAGTTAAAGGACGCACTGAAAATCCTGAGACCTGAGAACAAACTTTTGCTAACTGTGTCCTCTGAAGAAATGACCGTATGTGGGCCAAGACAAAGTCAAGATGCCATCAGACACTCTTTAAATGCAGGTCAGGAACCCCTAACAAATACCTACACTCCTGCTGGAGAGTCTTCTGGGGCGTCAGTGAACCTTGGCGGCATGGAAGTTGTGAGTGGATAAATCAGTCAAGTCTGGAATCTAAAGTTGTTTAAAATTGTTTGTGTTCTGAAGTATTAATTGCTGCAATTGTCTTTAGTATTTAAATATCCTGTCTTTCCTCATAGCTTTCTGAGCAGCCTTCAACATCTCATGATACGTGTGCTGGGGTAGATATTTGTGTGACCTTATGTGTATTGAGGAAACAATGGCTTCCTATTTTCAAGACATGAGCACTTTGTTGAAAAAAACTGGCTCATAGAAAATCCAGGTTGAGTTCCAACAGTCCTGTATGTTTTTCTGTAAAGTGTAGCTCTCTGCTGTATTGAGGCTGTCCTCTTTGGTCATTTTCTGCTCTGTTATCGTACTGCACAGCAACTACATTATTAGCACTGTATCAGCCCTGATGTAATTAAAGCAATGTTATTTTACTCCACCTATCTCCAATATGACATATTTTGTACTGTCATTCTCTTTGTATTGTGTGATACAGTTGCATTAACTGTAACATGTTTTCTTGCTCTGACTTTATCACAGAACATAAATGAAGTTCAAGTCACCCTCTCAGTCAAGTGGCCAGAGGGTATTAAACCGAAGAAACGTAAAGTAGAACTCCACAAAGTTCTTCAGATTTGGGCCAACAGAACCAATTGTGATCGAGACTACACAGTTTTAAATGTCTTAGAGGATGGGAGAGCTGTGATAAAGATTAAACCTGCTCCAGGTGCAGTATGACTGTTATTCTGTTTTTATTTAAAATTAAATCGCACATCTTTTATAAATATGGGTTTTGCAATTCAGTTTGCTGTTTTTACTTTTGTAGAAAACTAATTTTTGTTTTTCTTCTTTTAAGCCTTGATTGAGCTTCAGAAACTGAGTGGACAAACACTGACCAGGAAAAAAGGGGAGACAGTCACAATAATGTCTGTTAGTCTGACACTACCAGAGCTGGAAACGCAAATACCAGACAATGCTTCAATGACTCTTCCTCCTTCAGCTGTGTCAAAGCCACAACATGTATGTGCTGTGTAGTAAATCATTAGGAAGGAATTATATTCAGCACATTAACGCCTTTTACTAAATAAATACATTGTGTTTTGTTCAGGAGCAAATGCAACTGGTGGAACGAAGTAGTTCCAGCAGTTCAGCAGCAGTTTCTGCAGCAGGAGAGGAGACATCTCCTTTATCTATTCCAGTGGGTCATTTCTGGTTTGTCAACCACATCTACAAGGAAGAAATTAAACGTATTGAGAAAGAGAATGGAGTTCAAATCAAGGCAGAAGCCAATG